ACTTCACCACTTCCCAAACGTCAAAAGATATCCCCCTCCTCAAACGCGAAACACCGACAACCACAACCAAAACTACAACTACAACTACATTCACACCCACAGCAGCAATAACAAAATCTTCATCTTCCCTCCAAGAAATTATGTCTTCCAACGCTGCAACCAACGCAACAACCACAGCTCCAACTCCAGCTCCAGCTCCGGTTCCCACATCAAACGGCACAACATCCTCCACCACCTCCACCACTCCACCCACCACAACCACAACCACAGCTGCTCCATCCACCACAACCGCAACCTCTACCACAACCCCACCCGTCGCAACCCTCAAATCTTCTACCCCCCCACCCCTCCTCATCAAGAAACTCTCTCCTCGCGCTCGTCTCCCTACTCGCGGTAGCGCTTTCGCCGCCGGATACGACATCTATGCTGCAAAAGATACTGTTGTACCAGCCAAGGGAAAGGCAATGGTAGATACTGATATCAGTATGGCTGTACCGGACGGAACCTGTATGTTTCCATTTCTTCTATCTCCTTTACCCCCTTCTCGCTCTCTCCTCTCTCTCCTCTCCAATAAACTGCAGACTAACAACATTCCCCTTAGATGGCCGCATCGCCCCACGTTCCGGTCTCGCGTCAAAACATATGATTGATACTGGTGCCGGTGTAATCGACGCTGATTACAGGGGTCAAGTAAAAGTACTCCTCTTTAACCACGGTGAAAAGGATTATGAGGTCAAGGAGGGCGATCGTGTTGCACAGTTGATTTTGGAGAGGATTTATACACCTGAGGTTACGGAAGTTTTGGTTTTGGAAGAGAGTGTGAGGGGTGAAGGGGGATTTGGAAGCACTGGTTAGATTGTGAGGAGTGGGGAGTGGATGACGAAATATATGCTAGGGTTTGGCAAGTTGAGGATGAGATATACCGTGCTTTGTATACTCCAAAGAATAGAGGCGATAGTTCATGAAGAAAATAGACAAAATAATGAAATCTCTTGCCGTCTATATCATACATCATACATCTATATCATTTTTTATTCATGCCTCTGGCTTGTTCCTGCTGAGCTCACACACTTTCCGCCTTGAAGCTCACCACCGGATTCTTCAAAAAATGCACATTCCTCACCAATCTCACCTCGGCCGCCTTCGATCTAACCAATCCCTCCCTTTTAGCATCCTCATCCTTCCCCCTTCCACCCACAACATTCTTCCACCTCTCAATCTCCTCATCTCTCGCGATTTTCGTCTTTGCAAGCACCTCATGCATACTAGCCAAAACCTTCTCCGTAGCCCTCGCAAGGGGTAAGTCCGTAGCTTCGACCTCATCATCACTAATCCACGCATCTTTTTCCAGTAGTCCTTCCACATTACACACTGCCTCTTTGAATCTCACTAACATGAGCGCTGCAAACATATCTCCCGTCCCACTGAAGAAACAATCAATCGCCGGTATCTTGATGCTAAAAATTCTTGGCTCGGCTGTTGATGTCATGGTTGAGCCCACGACGGAAAGATGGGGCTCCGCGCCAGGAGAAGGAAGCGAAATAGATGTAACCATTATATGAGGAATTTTATATACTTCGTGTAAAGTCGTAATGGCCAATTTAAGCGTTTCCATATCTTGAATCCTGACACCGGATAATGTTCTATGAGAGTCAGCGAAAAACCCATACTCCATCGCTGCGCACAATGGGATCTTCCTAGGAGCGAAAGAATGGAATGGGAACCCCTACTCAACCTCAAACTGATTCGGCAGGATCAAATCCGCATCTTTGATTAATGTTTTATATGCCGGCACTACGTCCTCTGCCACATACAATTTCCCATTATCCCCCATGACCGGATCTAAAACCCAGAAGAAACTTCCCGGCTTCATTGTACTTTTTAATTTCAAATCGCGAGCTATTGAGCCGACGGCTTCGACCGAGGCGGCTCCAGGCAAATAGCCCGAGAGCATCATATTGAAATCGTCGAGGTACGAGTTCTTGAGGCCTTGATAGAGATCCGATATTTCGGCCGCGGAAGCACGTGTTCCTTTCGCTTGTCCATAACCTAGATGATTGCCTTTCATATGTCAGTTAGCAGGATATTCATCTCCTCTCCGCGGCAGTAATTGCAAATGTGGAGTGGTTTTCCAACAACATACTGAACTGTACTGTATTCAGAGCAGCGACTTCGCATCCTAGAGATTGCATAACGAATGTAGCCATTGTATTCCCGACATATCTTTGGTAGCGTTATGACTTAGTCGACTTGCGCGGAAGCATGCTTGGAGTGAGTTTGTGACTCATGAGACTCACCCGTAGACGACCTTGAACAGAGGATGTTAGTTCAGCGAGTGTCGTGTTGAGAATGGTCTCCCTACATGACTGGCTATAGCAAGAACCCGTGTATCTGGCACGGGAAAGTCTTCAGACATCTTGCTTGTTGGGGAGAGATGATTTTGTGGAGAGGAGAGTTACTGATTGAAGTTGGATATCAAGTCAGGCTGTGCCGGAATCGCTAGAAAGGATGGCGAACAGAGTTTCAGTTATAATGGCGGGTATTTTGTAAAAAATGGTTAAAAAATAGATGCTGAATTTGCGAAATGAAATTTCACTGCTCAAGAATATTTTGTGTATCAATCGAGGGGAAAAATAATAACCCTATCTCCCTCGATAATTTCATGTTGCTGGCATTAGATAGAGAGTAGTGGGGCACCAGGCTGCCCCGCGCTATTCTCAATCCAGGCCAGGGTCATGCATGAAAAGCCCAGGAGCAGCAAATTTTACCCAGTGCGCATAATGGGGATCGATAGGATTCTCTGAATATACTTCCTCATTGTTTCTGTAGTGTTTCTTAAAGAGCAATGAAGTGATTGGCATAAAGTGATTGATACAATATTCGAAGTCCTCTTCTCTGAATATATCTCATTATTGTTTTCTTTAAACAGGTTCTACAGAGAGAAATCAACGAATTGTTTCATCGCATGCCAGGTACTGAAGAACAAAACCATTCATTCATGGCACAATTTACCACAATCATTGTCCATATCCATAAATTAACCCACACGCCATACTGATATGCTGTAAACTTCAATATCATCGTTCATTAAAACCTTTTCGACCACCATTATCTACTCATCATCACCAATCTTAAAAATAAGTGTTAGCTTCCCTATCAGCAGATATTGGATAGTGCATGTTAATATACCTTTGGTGCCAAGTAAAATCTTAAGTAACTGCTTCCAGCAAGCTGATACTCGACCAAAAGAGGAACCTCATTGGACAAGCAAAGTTTAACAGATTTGGACAAACCAGCAGCCTTGCAGAAGTTGACCAAGTATTTAAGGGAGAAGGTCAAGGAGACCGGTTCGGTAAGCTCAATATCAACGTTAAGCTCTGGCTTGTCCACATTGCTGTGGCTGCGAAGGGTAACAGCACCATTTCCAATATCACCATTGCACTGGAACTTGACTCCATCTTTCGAAGCCTCAATCGATACTATCAAACAAATAATTAGGATCGACTGCCATGCAGGGAAACAGTAATACATACCAGACTCAGACAAAGCCATAAGATCCACACAGATCCTCTTGAACTCCGTACTTGGCATAGTAATAACAGCCGCATACTCTGTATCAGGGATACCCAAATGTTCTTGATCAATATCCATCAACTTCAAGTCATACTCGCTCAATCGATCACTTTCGCTGCTCTCAAACACCAAGTTTAACACATCTGGTGCATCCTCGGCTTTGATGGTGAGAATATCCTCGTTTTGTGCAGCCCGCAGAACTTTTGTAAGAGATGTGAGATTGACACCAAGCGCAACATTGCGATCACATCGGTAAGGAGAGAATCCTTCAGCCTTGAGCATCATAGAGACGAGCGCAACGTGTGAGTTATCCATAGCTTGGAGCGCGATTCCTGAATCATTGCAGTCGAAGTTGCAGTCTTGGACGAGATCTTTGATGGCATCGACCACCTATGTTATACCGTTAGCATGAGAAAGAAGTTGGATATAGTATTTTCTTTACCTTCTTAAGAAGGTCGGCTTGTTCGAGGCGAGCTTCTAACACTGGTACATTGTTAGTATTAAAATGTTAAACGGCCAAATCCATTGGGAAACTAGCATACTCTTTGCGGTATTTGAGTTTGTAAGCGTAAAAAGATAAGGGATGGAAGGATATCAAGAAGTTATACAGAGTGTGTTGGTTATATCGTGGATTGAATGATCTGTGTTGCAAAATTGATTGTTTGACTTTTTGAGATGGGAGGGTTGCGACGCGGTTATTGAGAAAACGCGTAGAGTGGTTTTTTGGCTGGTGCACAGACCCTCGGTATAGACCAATCACAGAGATGTTAGCCTCAAAATGTTGCAAAGTGGTTCACCAGGAGCTGTCTATCTAAGGGAGAATTAAATGACAGTTTATTAGTGACTAGGAAGTGGGTATTTCCGTTCAATTTCTACTCATATATTCTATAGTCTATTTATACTACAGTTTCGGGTACAGCTAGTACTAGCAAATTAGTATTTCTATGTTCAAATTCTAACGATACATTCCAAAATCACCCATTGTTCTATTCGATTTTGTGACATTTAGTTGTCAAAAAGGTCATCCATATCCTCTAGTTTACAGCCTTTCGTTTCTGGTACATAAAGCCACGTCCATACGCCTGAGAGCGCACAAAAAACGGCAAAGAAAACATACGCACCCCAATTGGTGTATACGACCAATGGTGGAGTAATCAAACCGATAATGAAATTGTTCCTATTCGTTTCAGACATTAGAAAGATACCCATGAAAGGGAGCCGAAACATCACCTACAGCCAATTGGAGCAAGTGCTTATAGCAACCCCTTTTGCCCTTAAATCTGTCCGGAAGATCTCCGATGGCATTGCCCAAGGTACAGGACCCCACGATGCACCGAAAACCACCATATAAATCAGGAGGAATGCTACACTGACCCATGCAGCCGTGGCATGTGATTCCCAATCATAAGAAAAGAGGCAGACCAAGGCAGCTATCATGACATGGCTGATGGTCATGAAGAAAGAGCCGAGCATGAGTAGTGGCCTCCTTCCGTATCGATCCATTGTAAATAGACTCGATGCGACGCCAAAGAGCCTGTAATTCATCGGTTAGTATAGGTCAGGAAATAGGATTGTAAATGTTCGAAGATCGTCACAGACATTCAAAATCAGTTCGGAGGGTGACACTTACTGGCAAATATTTAAAATTCCCGACATGACAAGTTGCATTTCTGACTGCAAGCCCATCCTAGCGAACAAAGTCGGAGAGTAGTAGATCAGGGCATTGATACCAACGAATTGCTGGAAGAACATGATAACTACACCAATGTGTGTACGTTTGATGGAATCAGATGCAAAACAATCTCTCCATAAGGCCAACTCAAGTTTCATTGCCGAATTTATTATGCTCTCGTGCCTTTGTAGGTGGATCTCTCGAATGTGTATAACCTCCTCACGCATTTGGCGTGCCTCGTTCCGGATTCTGGCATCGGTATCCGGTAATTGTCTCAACTTTGTTAGAGCTTTCAAGGCCTCATCATCTTTTCCCTTTGAAGAAAGCCATCGAGGCGAAAATGGAAGGAAGTAGACGCCGACTCCCAGTAATAAGGCAGGAATGATTTGGATAAAAAAAGGAAGACGCCAACTCCATTCACCACCAAGGTATCTTGTGCCGAATGTAATCCAGAATGCAATAACTATTCCCACAACTATTGAAAGCTCTTCTATATATTACTGGTTAGCACAGTTTCATTGTATGAGATTAATTGAAAGAATGAAACAGAACGGTTGTATGGAATTTATTGGAACAATGAAGCTTCAGACTAGCCACTTGGAAGAATGAAACTTCGGATTAGAATCACTTACCCATAACAAGCAGAGTTCCACGAATCTCAGGGGGAGCAATTTCCGAGATATACATAGGCGTAACCATTGACAACATTCCAATGCCAATGCCTCCAATAAGCCTGGCTATAATGAGCATACTGAAGCTAACAGCCGCGGTTTGTAGGATGCTGCCCACGAGAAAAATGGCGACAGCAATCATTATAGAGTACTTTCTGGAGTATTTATCCGCAATCCAGCCCTGGTTCAGAGCACCGAAAAAGGCACCGAATTCGATCATGGCCGTTAAGAGACCCTTCAAAAAGCCGCTAGAATGAGGACCTATGCGTGGGAAGTCGGCGATGAAGCTTTCCATGACGAGGACAACGGAGACTACGCCCTGATCATAGCCTGATAAACGTTAGAACAATGAAATATCCGAAAGCCGACGCGACAATGAATGCTGTGAATGTCCTAAACCCAACGTGAAAATCGTATGCATCGCGAGGTCCTATCCAAATTGTGCTACGTACCAAATAAAAGTCCACCAACAGTGCTTAAAATAGCCGCACCAGCAACATAAGGTGAGGCAGTAATGCCTCTGAACCCGCCCTGAACGTATGGATGTATGGCGTCTTCCAAATTTTCATCCAATGCACTTACTACAGCCACCACTGGCTCACTGATCAAAGCATCTTGGGGACCTGCTTCTTCATTTGAATTCCTGCATTGCTCCATCGTCCCGCCTGTCTTATCTGCCATCAATTATAGATTTTGAACGGGCGAATGAATCTCAGATTGGAAAATAGGAATGAGAGGTGGGAATCGACAGATTATAGGTCGAGGTGAAGGTTTCATCAGCGGCCAGCACTGCTAGATCATTGAGTTACCCCGCATCGTGCTTGCCAGTTTTATTCATTTTAGAAAGAACAGTTGAGGAGGAAAGTACGACCACGCATCTGAAGATAGAATTCTTAGGTTGAATAATTGTGTCCGCAACTTGTAGACTGAATTACCTACCTGTCTTTCCGGGGAAAAAAGAACATTTCAAATACATGAATTGCTTGCTTGGAGGACTTTGAGAGGTTGAGATTGAGCCCAGTGTTCTTTATGGTAGAGAATTGGCGATAGCATCATAGGGATGCTGTCGCTGGTCGCTCATGCGTCCCTTCTTTTAGAAACACACAGGTCGACATACAGCAAGTGCCTTCTATACGTAAACCAGCCTCCATTCATCATGCAGGCCGAGAGAAAAAAGCCCCCACGTTTACATGAAAACGATAGACCTGAAAGTCGACCTGATTTCTGTTTCTCATCCAGCTCATTGGCGACTCGAAAGATTGCATGAAATCATGATTGAAGCGCCCTCCAAGGGTATCTATTTTTCAATTTCATATTTCGCAGAATATAAAACTATTTTAAGAAACGTCGAGCTCATGGCTTAGCCTTTTTTTCATGATCCCCACCCCACCTCTGTCGATCAAACCAACACAACATCACCCTTCCCGCCTATAGCTACCACCTGCCTGGAAACGTAGGACAAGCTTAAGCACATGGCGACCGACCATCGCGTTCTGCAAGGGCAAAACTACTACTGCTTAGGTAGATCATTACCGCACACTGCCTTGTTCGAGTGTTATATCTCGGAAATTTCAGATGGTTGCAGAAAATTGCAAGTGGGATAAAAGATGTAACCTAAACTCGTAATCTTAGGTGTGGGACAATTGATTGATTGTTCGGATAAACGCGGTATAAATATGTGATAAATCGCGATATCTAAGCCGTAATAAGTATTCTTATTATCGATTTTTTCAATATTTGAGTTGAATACCGGCATTTAATCGATTTTGCGGACCTAAAACCTAGCTTCGTCTCTCAATAACTTTTCAATATCTTCATTCAAACTTAACAATCAAAGGACTTCTCAAGCTTTCCATGCTTCTGTTTTGGTGAGCAATTTTTGTTTCAAGAGGTTTGTAGCGAAAGCGCTATTTTGGACTGACTGCAAAAAAATAAAAAAGAGGGGAAACGAATGAGCCACCAAGGCCATTTTACGGTCTGTACCGCATCCCTCATTCCATCTTGTCTTTCGCGGGACGGGGAACGATGCGAATGCGTGATGTGAGCGATCATGATGAATCTAAGATCCAAGGTTACCGATTGAGTTATGGAGAACATGCTGCTACTGTTCTTCTAAACTTTGATATCCAAATAATCCGGACATCGCGGCTTGCAGTATTGGTGGTATTAAGTCTTTCCTTGCGAATTTCATGGGTTCCTGGACCGTTTCAAACCAATCCCACGCCGCACACATGTAGAATGCTTAAAGTATTACATATAAAGTATCCAATAAGACTGTCCATGTGAGGCCCGCACACTAGACCATATGTAGGCGCCACATGCCAGCATGGATGTTCTTCGTGTGGATACCTACCTCATGTTGTTGGTAATGGGGACGATGATCTTTGAGCCATTAGGGTCTGTTGGGTCATGCCACATGGTATTGAAGATATCTAACTTCCCTTATCTCGTTGATCTCCCATATAGGAAGGAATTTTTGTTTGACATGTGCTAAACGAGTCCGGAAAATCCAGCTTGTAAGGTCTCCTGGACTCCGATACTTCTTGACATGGAAAAAGAGCGATTGGAGCGGAACATATGACGATTTCGGTTCCAAGGATACTATACTTCTGAACGGGACCTTGATGGAGCTGGAAAATGATGTTAATCCGGTGTTTTTGCGTCTTTCCGATCTTTTCTTTTGCTTTTTACGCCATTTTCTCATCATTCTCGCGCTAATGAAAACTACTGTCTAATTCGCTACCTAATTGTTAGGTATGTCTGTAACTTCCAAGTTCTTTTGATTTCGTACGTGAAAGATATCTTGATCTTTGGTGTCGAGCATGATAGTAATAAGTCCTTCCGAAGGCGTATACTATTCTTACCTGACTAATATTTAGGTGAAATGAATTGTTGCTTTTCTTGTGAGGTTTTTGAGACATTCTACTGACGATGTAATGTCAGAATGTATGGTTGGTGGAGCATGCAACCACCATCACATAAGCGGAGGTGGGAAAGCTGGTCAAGCAATTTGAGATGTTACTCCGTTTGGAGATCAGCATTAACTTTTAAGTATCCAGCAGTTATGCTCGTTCGTCCTATATCAAGATTCCTAAGGACTAGACTAGGTACTTTCCTTACAACCATACTTGAAGAAGTACATGCATTTGGGTATCAGTCCACATGACGAGGTTACAAGCAGGTAAGCAGATAAGCACTTAGAAAGTAAGAATGAGACGCTGCCAACGAACGAATTGGAGGTAAGTATGAAAATCAAAATGAGGTAATCATGGGGGGCCGTATGATTCTGGAAGTGTTCTATCTTGGCTAGCTGCAGGTGGTGCAGGTTTGAACAGGCCAGGGCTGCAGATACTAGTAAGGTACTAGGTATTATGTAGTGTTGTTCTTTTGTGTTTATTTTAAGTGTCATGATGAAATTGAGACGACCTCCGGGAATAATTGAATAAAAAGAACTTGTTTTTGGTGATGAGATTCGTGATGAAAATTCACGATGCATATGATGTATTTGAGACAGCGGGTGATGGTGAGCCGTGCAATAACTTGGTCGGTCTACTCAATAACCTATCTCACCTAGATTTGGTGAGATCTTTAGGTCAACGGTGGCGCAATGCTTCTTTTTCTCCATCATTTACCATGTATCTCGTGGAGCATTATTGGGCGGACGGGACAAATGCGGTGTCCAAGTGCATATTCCGTATGTCCTCAAGATAGTAAGTAGTAGATTAATTACAATGAACTACTCGAGTAGTACCTTCCAAATATGGAATGCGAAACAATCGAAAATGGACATATCGTCGAGTATGAAATCAAGAGTGATATCCTAAATGATCCTTTGAGCCTCTTTTCCTCCTTGAAGTTTGACAATGGCTGATTGCACGGAGCCGCGGTGAGTTGAAGCTAGAAAGTACAGTACCGCATCTCCGGCAACGGGTAGTTCAATCGAGAATCCCATTCTCGATTCCGGATCTTGGGTTTCGTGTCCTGTTTGTTCTATTTTGAGACATTCTCCCACCTTCGAGTAATTCATCCGACACTGCCTCGAGAACCATGTTTCAAATTCCACACCTACTGTATGACGGTAATAATGGTGATGTAGTAGGTGTGATGATAATTATTACACCTTGACGGTATCTCCAGTTGATCCATATTGCCGTATCGCTCCGAAGATTCTAAATTGTAAAACGGTAGACATATGCATGTGCTGGTTGTCGAGATGGGTAAGGTGCAAATGAAGATGTAAGATTTTGATGAAAATGTAGATACCTTAGCATAGACGAGGGCAAAGTGGAGTTCGCAACGGATGCCATTTCTTAATCATCGTTCCGGACCCCACAGGCTGATTGGTAGAAAGGGGGAAAATGGAGTAGTAACTAGTAAGCCTGTAAGCATGTGAGATATGAGATGGGTATCTAATTAGCTTGTTGCTATCGCACAACACGACCCACCGAAACGTGGAAATAGTACTCCGTCCCTACTATCTATGAGTCTGTGAGCATTGGATTATTCGATTAAATGATTATTCATTGAGAAAGTGGGACAGGTCCAAATCCACATATAGCCAAGTATAGATCTCTCATCAAGGCAACGAGATTTTGACATATTAGCCCGGCGGATACATCACATAACTAGCACAGCACACTACTGATAAATGGGTAGCGTACATACCGCAATGCTCTGTTTCTGTACAGTAACATTTTCCAACTCTTACAATTATCTAAGCGAGCCTGTAACGCGACGGATTTGGGGGTTCTTCGCGTGTTCGTCAAATCAACTTACCTCTCTACTGGGAATTTAATCAAGCCCATAATTAATACATGTGGACGGAGTAGAAAGATATTCTCAGCGAGGCTGGGCTGGGCTGGGCTGCTGAAAATCAGAATCAACTTCATACAACACTACATGAAGCAGAATTAAGATTACACATATACCTTTTTTATAACATATAAATTACACACAAACTACCAAATAGTGCTACGTCAGCAAGATACTGTCTGTATGAAGTATCTTGCTCGTGTTCTTCATCAAACCTCACACCCCATCTAGAAAATAGATAGATATACGATAATCATATGGTACAGCAAACAGGAGTAAGAAAGACATTATGTTTGGAATGACTTTCTCGGTTGAGAGACTCGGGTACGGAAATGAGAAAATGGAATAGCTAATATCTTACCTTTTTATTATTCGAGAGATGGGGCAACAAGCAAAAATTGAAATTGAAGAAGATGGTTGTTTTTGGTCACAGCTAGTGTATGGATTTGTAGGCACCGTAGAATTGTTTAGGTATAGCCTATTTTTCATATTTTCTTCATTGCTCCCTTTCTTCACTGATGAAATTTAAAGTACATTTATATGGAGACTATAGTGAGACATGCTTGCGTTCATCAGACTGGTGCCATGGTAACATGGTTATAGCCCCTGGCTACTTCATCCAAAAAAACGTGGGTCTGGCTGGAGAATAACAGATATGGTAAGGATAATTGAGATGGTGTATGGAGTAGGGATCAAGGGGTAAAGCAAAGTAGGGAATTAAAGCTGTTTTCTATCTGTCGGAACTTCATACCGTTCAACTCTCTCATGCGGTCGATCTGCACCTACCAGTGTTAGTTTGAACTTTGTACCCATCATATGGACCCGCATCACTGATTGAATTGACTCTACTTTTAATTATTTTTTCGTGCCTGCCTACACTAAGAGTTGCCTTGTCACAGTACAAGCCTCTTTACACACTTCAACCTGCTTGTCTGTTGCTTGTCCGTGGTTCATGACATGATAGTAATACTGGCGATATATGAAATAACATCAGAGCATTAATAAATATGTTGTGTAAGCGCGCGCAATGTTTCTTTACACCGAACAAATCTCCCTTTATCGAAGCTATTCTACTCAAATAGATAATGATTGCTCGTATAATTTTGGCCCTTTTTAGGGTTAGCTTACAAAACGTTCAATCGTAATGCTGGTCTGTTAGTTTGTACACAACGCAACAATCTGTCAGATTCATCACGAACTGGGTCTAAAAGCGTTGTGTTACAAATTACCCGCAAGTTTGGGAATGTCTCTTCAGCATGCCATTCTGATGGTCACTTCAAAGTAACAAAAAATCAAATTGGATCTAGGCGGACATTTCACATTTTACATCTACCTAGCGATGTTGCCGAAAGTCGTTTCATCAAAAAGAATTCCACTTCAGTACATCAAGAAAAATTACTCAGACGCCTGGATTGTTGTTCAATTAGAATTATCGTTAATTAGTCTTGGTTATTGCCATAATATGGGTCCCTTAATTGGTCTCAATGGGGTCCGTGATGAGCGGCGTAGCTCACAGTTGAGAGGGGAAAATCTCCTGTGCTCCTGGTTTAACTTTTTGTGGTGTGCCTCGTCCTTTTCCTCAGAAAGCCCTACGGGTCGCGCTAAGTTATTCAAACGTTGACGTGCCCAGATGAACCCAGAGTGCGGGTGTGTCGCTCTGGCGCCTGTTTTGTTTTCCCCCCCATCTCTTCACGAACAACTTTACGGTCGAGGGGCAACCATGTATGACAGGGTTTAGAATCCTTCGAACCTGTCCCCAATCTGACCAATCAGATGCTGACGGGAGCAGCGCTACAGCGCCGTCCACATACATGCTTTAGGTACTTTAAGCCTTACTCCCCTTGGATAAGTTGAGGCGGAGACCTTGATTTAAGTGCCTCCTGGAATCCCTCGAATAGAACCAAAATAGGTACATCACAACGTCTATTGTTCCTCATCAACGCCGAGCTTATAATCTCCCCAGATCCGAAAGTAACGTCAGTCTATTTCGAGTGTCTCATCTCTTTAAAACTATCTGTATGTGCCGCCATCACCAGTCACAGCCTTCTTATCCCCTGCACAGATGGATTCTTCGTATGTAGACCAGAGAGACTCACGTCAGTTCAGGTCCCGAACAGACAGTCACCTGTCATCAACTACATCGCAATTTCAAGGTCTTCTTATTGAGACTGACCCCACCACATCTTCAGACCACCAAGTTGGTACATCTTCATCAAACTCAGACTCAGCAACAGCAGTCTCAGCTACAACAGCTACCACTCTCATTAGTCCACCGACACCCACATTCCTTCAACAAACTTCTGCATCTTCAACTGCCACTGGTCTATCATCGCCAGCCCCTCATCAATATACACCATTCCCGGTCCTCAACAAGAGTGAACTTGACACAGCACGTGTAGTAGAGTTATCACGACTTCGGAAGCGCAATCAGGCAGACGTCATGCGATGTGTCAAGTCCGAATCCTCC